ACAGCCGTCTTTTCTCTCTTTTTATTTTCTCCTTTCGTTTCTTGCTGTTGCTGCTGCTGCTGCTGCTGCTGTTGCTGCTGTTGCTGCTGCCGCTATTCCTGCTGCTGCTGCTGCTCCTGCTGCTGCTGCTCCTCCTCCTTTCCTCCTGCTGCTCCTGCTCCTGCTGCTGCTGCTGCTACTCCTGCTGCTGCTACTGCTACTCCTGCTACTCCTGCTGCTGCTGCTCCTGCTGCTGCTGCTGCTGCTGCTGCTGGTGCTGCTGCAGCTGAGCGGGTTGCCTGAGTTGTGTTTATCGATGCGGCAGCCGCAAATTCTGAAAGACGCGGCATTTCATCCAGCAGTGAGGTATAAACTGTCTCCTTTTTGTCTCCTTTTGTCTCTTTTTGTCTCTTTTTTTTTGTCTTCTTATTGTCTCCTTTTTGTTTCGTTTTTGTCTCCTTTTTTGTCTCCTTTTTTGTCTCCTTTTTGTCTCCTTTTTTGTCTCCTTTTTTGTCTCCTTTTTGTCTCCTTTTTGTCTCCTTTTGTCTCCTTTTTGTCTCCTTTTTGTCTCCTTTTTGTTTCTTTTTTGTTTTTTTTTTGTTTATTTTTTTGTCTCTTTATTGTCTCCTTTTGTTTGTCTCTTTATTTTGTCTCTTTTGTCTCTCTTTTTTATCTCTTTTGGAGCATAAACTGTCTCCTTTTTGTCTCTTTTTGTCTCTTTTTGCCTCTTTTTGTCTCTTTTTGTCTCTTTTTTGTTTTTTTTTGTTTCTTTTCTGTCTCCTTTTTGTTTCTTTTTTGTCTCCTTTTTGTCTCCTTTTGTTTGTCTTTTTATTGTCTCTTTTATCTCTCCTTTTTATCTCTTTTGTAGCATATTTTGTTTCCTTTTTGTTTCTTTTTTGTCTCCTTTTTGTCTCCTCCTTGTCTCCTTTTTGTTTCTTTTTTGTTTTCTTTTTGTTTCTTTTTTGTCTCCTTTTTGTCTCTTTATTGTCGGCGTTCGTTTGTCTCTTTATTTTTTCTCTTTTTTCCTTCTTTTGTAGCGCCCTTTGTCTTTTTTTTGTCTCCTTTTTGTCTCCTTTTGTCTCCTTTTGTTTCGCTTTTGTTTCTTTTTGTCTCCTTTTGTCTCCTTTTTGTCTCCTTTTTGTCTCCTTTTTGTCTCCTTTTTGTTTCTTTATTGTCTCCTTTCGCTTGTCTCTTTATTTTTTTCTTTTGTCTCTCTTTTGTCTCCTTTGTAGCATATGTTGTCTCCTGTTTGTCTCCTTTTTGCTTTTTTTGTCTCTTTTTTGTCTCCTTTTTGTCTCTTTTTGTTGTGTATATATTTTGTGTTCTACTCTCTCCTTCTGTCTCCTTTTTACTCTATATTTTATGTTTATTTTACTTCTTTTTATTTCTTT